AGGTGAACTGTGCCTGCTCGGGGGCTGCAGGAACCATGGGCCTGATAATGCTGTCGTGGTGGAGGAAAGCCTTAGGAGAGAACCAGCTTTCAGAAGTGCCTGTTATCCGTTACAGAATTTAGCAGCACCACGCAACTTACCAAAGGAGTGTGTGATAGATTTTAGTACTTTTTTTTTTTAAAAAGTGTAATAAATTGTCCAGATCTCATAAGATAACAAGGAGGGCTCGAGGAAAATGGATTAGGTATCCGAGCTAGCTGTTGTTTGGCCTTCATTACCAGTTCCATTTCAAATTACATCATTAGTCATGTGCTGATGGGCAGGCAATTGGTAGTTTGAGTCTACTGGCGTGCTGCTCTCATTCATGATGCGTGCAGGGACTGTCCTGCCAAGGAGCCCCTATCCAAGCAGCATAAACTGCAGAGCAGGGGCCATGCACTGAGCTTTAATGTTGCTTAAATCTTCTGCACTTCGTCCCATCGTTCCCATGAAGAGCAGCAGTCTTCTCCAAAGTACAAGTGGTTTTTCCAGGTAACGGGTTACTGGCAGGCCATGAGTCAAACCTGCCACACTTTGTGTCCTGATCTTTGGTTTGTGTTTGTGTGTGTGTGTTTGCAATCCTATTTTTGCTCAGGCAGAATTGGCATCTGGCTAATCTGAGGGTTATGTGACCGTTTGCCTTTGGGGTAAGTAGCCCAGTGAGGGAAGGACAGAGGAACAGATGTGTGTGTGTGCGTGTGTTGGGGGATCTTGTGCTTCTAAATAGCCGTAGAATTGCAATAAAAGGGAGAAGGAGCAACCTGAAAAATCCCTGTGTATTTCATTGTGAGAAAATGGACTAAAGCTTCAACAGCTTTCTTGTTTTTTCTACTTTTAAACAAAATATGTTTTAGGCAAGAAATAAAAGACACATTTAGAAGCTGAAGGAAACTATTAAAGAGAAAAAACAGAAGCTAGTACATGTATTCACTAAGAAATAAGTAACAGGAGAGGCAACAGAAATGCAGTAAGATTGGAGATTAAACAGGAAGGGCAACTACCCTATGCCAAAAGGATAAAAATATTAAGAAGCTAGAGAAAGGGAAACAATATAAACATGTTATTTTAAAAAATGTTACTGGTCATAGCATTTAAGTGAGCATAATGGTTGAGTTATTTCTGTATATAATTTTGAACAATCCTGCTTCTTGAGATAGGTAATGACCTGCTAATATAGATGTAGTTACCTTGATGAATATGCTTGCAGATTTGCTGTGTGCATAAAAAAAGGAGTAGACAAAACTGCTTAATATTTTCCTCTCCGCTTTGACATATTGAAGGGTAATAGTGGTTGTTGTTAGGGATGTGACTGCAATTCTATCCCCTTTCTGGTCCCAGAGTCCAGAGGTGAATAGTGTACTGCTCGTAGGTGTCTGTGTCTGATGTTCTATCCCTAGAGCACAGCATCTGGCAGCAGGGTCCTGGTGCGTGCTTACTGCTTTTCAGGTCAGAGTACGTGGAAACTGCTTTCCCCAGGTCATTTAACACAACTTCTTAGAAATCCAATACAGAAATTACATAAGGGGATATAGATCAATAATCCTTACTGAATGGTGTGCATCCATCACCATTGTAAAAGCGGGCAGACTAGCAGGGATGCTACAAATGTTGGAGGCCATTTCTATCATTCTTTATGTAGAACAAATGTACTGGGTTAGACAGAAGGGTCTGGTCCAGACCATTTGTCATGTGTCTGAAAAGCCTGCAGCTGATGGTTAGAAAGAGGTTTTCCTTCTGCAGAAAGTTCTCTGTGAGCTTCTGTCAGTCTGCTGCCTTGAGGACAGGTTAAATTGTATTTTGAATGTTGAATGCTTCTCATGGTTTTAGCAGAGCTACCTGAAAAGTAAAAACATCATTGCTACGTTTTGTGTCCTGACATTTATTTTGGATTTTTCTCATTTGTGAGAGTTGGAAAATTTTCCAAATTATTGTGATGTCTGAAAGCAAAGATGATAAATTTCAGTGCTCTAAATGGGAGATGATGGATGTTGTGGCACACTGAAAAATGAGGACCTACGAGACCTGGTGGTTTTCAGCATGAATCTTAGGGCAAGTTTTGCACTAGTGCAATGGTCGGATGAGAATAACTTTTAAACTGCTTAGCTGGAAAGTGGTCCGTGCTCTAGAATTCACGCCTTATTATTTGCCCTTCCTGGCCAACAGTTTTGGATGTTGAAGAATAATGTGTCTTGGACAATGCATGCTCAGTTGGTAGCTAGGGAATTGCAGCAGAAAATGGGAGACAACAAACATAATCTTTATGGAGGTCACACCACCTATAATTGTCAAAAAGACAGTTGATGCATGTTTTTACCTAAATGCAAAGTGTTTGTAGGAGAAGTACTTCAAAATGAAATCATAAAAGAAGGAGGAAAAAAAAGGACCTCTCACAAGCCAAACTGAGAAATATTGCACTGAGAAAATAAAAATAGGCCCGAACACTGCCATCCTAGCTAAAAAATTTATGAATTCTGTTTTCTTAATTGGAGATATTCTGTTCTTTTCCTCCTTTTGCTCATTTCACATACATCCTTAGGGTCCCAAATCTGTTTTGAACTGCTTGTCTGCCTGCATAGGCTTTTGACATACCCTGAAGACATCTCACTTGTCAGCTACAGTGAGAACCCTTCCTGGAAACATCTGCATTGCTGGAAGGCAAAAGCTAGTTGGAAAAGCGATCAGCACCTGTAGCAGTAGTACTGATGTTGTAGGTGGACGTGCTGAAACCACGTTAAAAACAGGCTTCCTTCTGTTACTGAAGCTTTGTGGCAACAAAAAAGGTGGAATACTGGAATATGAGTGAAAAACTTGACACAAAGTTTGCTTACAAGTATTAACTAGCATGTTTTTAGCATCCTAGCTGGGAATGAGGTCATCTCTCTTATTCCCTGGAAATTCATTCAAGTGACTGTGTAGAAAGTGTGATCACAAACTGTGCAGAAGTGACTCTCATTGAAGTTGTGTGTGGCTACTTTAGGACGGGGTTTGATCCTATTGCTAGTTATGTGGGTGTTTTTGGTTTTTTTGTTCTTCCCGAGGCTACAAGCACAAACCTCACAGGATTGTTGAGAGGATCTCATTGTATGAGATTTTTGTGTTATGTTCTCTTTGGTTAAGTGTTCTGAAGTTATATGTATCCTCAAAAGGAAATGCTCGCTTATGTTTGAACTTCAGGCCCTAGGATGTCTTATCTCCAGCAACAACTGAGACAATGGTGCTTTATTTTGCAAGATAAATATTCAAGCCTGAGGAGTCTCAGGCTTTGGTAGGTAAGCAGTGATGTTTGCTGTTAGGTTTTTGTTGTGGTTTTTTTTGGGGGGGGGGTTGGGTTTTTTTTTTTAAGTTATGGAAGCTTAAATTTTGCAGTGGGGCTTTCACAGATACTCGGTGTCAGCCCTAGTGCTTCCCTGGGTGCATCGCCCATCAGAAGTTGGAAATTCAGTGAAAGATGTAGCTTAAAAATATACATTTCTCTTAATGGCTTGGGACTTAAATTGTTTTTGTAGGTGGTTTCTTTATATTGCATCTTAACTTTTAACCATAAAAATTAATTTATTAGGGTTACACTTTCTAAAATCAAGCTAAGAAATGCTCAGAGCAATCCAGCAAATTTTCAAGCTGTGCGAGGTAGGGCAGATACCATGTGTTTGTAATACTGTGCAGTATCCTCATCCTCACTCTGCTTGGATTCAGTCAGTACCTGTGGTTTCTTTGTGCATTAAATCGGTGGTCTTAATTGTTTGGGTAGCCCTTCCTGCAGTCCTGGGAAAGTCCTGTCTTTAAGGCTTACCTGAAGGGATGCAGCTACAGGTAGTAGGCACTGCTGCAAGCAAACCCTTTTTACTATTTATCTGGATAGTGCTTAGCACGATGGAAATTAAAAAAAATCTTCTAGAACCTATGACTGATACTTTGCTGGCAATAAAAGTGACAAGATAAGGAGATACATTAACCTGACAAAATATTTAAATATATATTAAGCTCAGTGTTCTGGCGCGGTAGCTTCCTGCCTGTAATTCATGTAGGCTGGGCAGGGAAGGAGTCCATGTTGCATGTCATGAGCTGACTTGGGATAACTAAGAATACTGTTACTGCTTGATCTGCTGACTAACTACCACCGAGAGGGGAGCTTTCTTCATTCTCCCTTCCTTTCCTACAATGAGCCATCTCACAAAGTTAAATCAAAAAATAAACCACGCTTCTAAAAAATGGGGGGGTTTGCTGGGCTGTCTCCCTGAGCAGTCAGACAGAGTGCTATTGCCAGCACAAGGAGGGGACTGGGAACGTGTACATGGAGGTGAAGAAGGAGTGAAACCTCCCTTCGGTAGCAGTCAGTTACATTGCCTCAGCCGTAATACCAGTTAAAAACCCAGCCAAAAGGACAGAAAGTACGAAGTGAAATCTACTGCTATGGGGTGTTTTGACACACATACATATTAGAATTTTGCCATTTATACATATTATATACATATAACATATTATGGAAAGTATTTTTCTAAACTGGAGCAAAAATAATTAATATGTCCATCTTTCCTCTTTCAAACAGGAAGCAACAACTTTATATGGCTCATGTCTGACAACATGCACCACCAGTGGCTGCTGCTTGCTGCATGCTTTTGGGTGATATTCATGTTCATGGTTGCTAGCAAGTTTATCACGTTGACTTTTAAAGACCCAGATGGTAAGTTCAACTTTAATGTTTGATATGAAACAGAAAATTGAATAATGCTTCATACAGATACTGTCTTTGTGCAAAGTAGTTCTCGGCATGTTACCACTTCTTCAGTAGGATTGAGAACAAAACTAAATTTCCAGAAGTGACAGCGCTGATGTTCAGTTTTTGCTTTTCTTGGTAGAAGTCTGCAAAACTAACATCTTTTTTTTGGTGGTTAAGAACAGAGGGGATTGTGTTTGGCAGTACTGTCTTGTGAGGTCTGCTTTTTCAAATCCACTCCATTTCAGTATCTTGATCTCCTAGGAGTAGGTTACATGCAAAACAACAGAGCACAATTACTTGTTTAAAGACAAAGGAGATTTATAAGGAATTAAAGAGTTCATTTCACATAATACAGTTTCTGTCCTCTTGTGACTGCTTGTCCTATGGCTGCAGTATTATGTAAAACTTGTGGAAAGTTTTATTTCATTTGCAGTGTACTTAGCCTAGCCACCTCTGCCCTGCTGCTTGCATTCAGTTTTATCCTCTGCTGTTTGACTGACAAACAGCTTATAGGCTTTTGCTTAGCTTAAGTAGCCCAGATGGTATTAAGCTGATGAGGAATTTAAGCCATTTGATGACACCACACAGCATGTTACTGTTTTCTGTCTGCTGAGGAGCTACTGTTACAAAGCCATCCTACAGAGAGTTTAGGGTGAAGGTGATATGACTTACAGTCCTAAGAGATCTGTATTTCTGCATCTTTCTAAGATATGCAGAAAATGCATAGCTTTTGAAGTGCTGACATCACTAGCGGCCTTTGTTTCAATTACCTGATAGTGGATAAATATACTAGATGTACCTTTTTAAATAGCATACCTCTGTGTGGAGATTTATTCAGCAAGTCTTACAGATGAAAAGTGTAGGGTAATTTAGCTTTCCTTTGTCACTGCTCTTTTTGAGCCCGAGTACATCTGCAAATAAGCTGGTCTTATGTTGGGTAGTTAAATCTTCCAGTATTTCATTGTATACCAACTCTTGTTTCCCAGCTCAGGTATTCTTTGAGTAGTTCTTTCCATCATAATTTGTGAGGAGTATTAAAATGTATTTTTAAAAAAATGACTGTAGTACACCCTTTGCATTTACTTGCTTTTTATTATCTTGGCTTGGCAACTTTTCTCTTTTTTTTTTTTTTTTTTGTCTATGCTGAATCTTCCTTCCCCTTTGAATAGTTTTCTGAGCAGAAGATTGTATAATTTCTTAAGCTCCAGTCCTGCAAAGGCTTGACTGTGGTTAAGTGTGTGTATGTGTTGGAGATACCAGTGTTTGTACTGGGACTAATGAAGGGAAGTAATTTGAATATACCAACAGAATTTTGGAGAAAGTCTGAACGGATGGCCAATCCTGGAGGAACTCTTCTAGACTTAAGGAAAATTTCTGACAAGCTGTATTTTATTATTTGGATGTGTCTACTTAGCAGCTAGAACAAAGCCAGCAGATGCTCAATGAATCAATGTTCTTTTGTTTAAGCCTTTTACTGATGTCTTGGGTGCATGAGCAATAGGAACTTCTTAATGAGAAGGAGCAAGTTTCTGTCCATCATCTCTAGTAGCATCTGCAGGCATGCTTTTACCCAATGATAATGAAAGATACTTTAACTGCTCTTTCACTGAGTCAGATTACTTTGATTTTACAACAGGATATTGTGAAGTAAGTTTGTGCACAACAATATTTACTGTAACCAGTTGCTTGGATGCTTACATTGTTTTCAGTTTTAACTTGCTTTTCCATGTGTGCCTTTGTTAAAATCCAGTGTAGGCAGTGTAGAGTACTCCCTTAAGAAAAGGACATAGGCAATACGCACATTTTCTCAATCATAAAACAGTCACTGTAGATGCAGATGAAGAGAGATTATTCATTGAAGAAACTATATGAAGGGAAAAGTAGTCCAATGTGGATGGAAATACATTTTCAGGGAGAAATCATGTTCTTTTTGCTTTGTTGTTAGGGAAAGCTGCTTCGAATTATTTTTGATCTTTCCACACTGTGTAAAGTAAAGCTACAACCTTGTGTTATTTTTCAGTTTTCCTGTAGCATACCAATTGCAAAAGATGCAAAGGGTTCTTCCCTACATACTTTAATTTGGTCTCAAACTATTAGCTGCCCTAAAAATCATTAAAAAAGAACAAGAGTATTAGTTGAGTTTGTTCCTTTGTTGTGGCAGTCTCTAAGGAAAGCCATCAGTCCTGTAGTAAAGGAAGAGGAGATCTTGTATTTATTGTTGGTTAGAGGTGTTTACTTGGAGCACCGAAGAAATAAAAGGTGGTCCCTAATGGCACTTTTCTTCTGGTAATGTCTAAGTGTTTACAACAGAAGAAACCTGTCTACTAATGTAGAGGGGAGTGAGAGACCTGATAGATTAAGTTTTTTATTTGGACATGCTTTGGGAAGTTTATTGAAAAATAAAAATCTCATCTTGTCAAGTCCATATAGTTACACTCCATTGTCTACCAATTGTGATATTTGGATTTATGATTTCTATGTCTCTTTGCACAGTTTGTTTAAAAAAGACCAAAATAAACGATAATGGACGTGTTCTTTGATAAAACACAACTGAAGTAGCATCCAAAATTCCCATAGAGTACATCCTTTAAAATATTCATAATCTGTCTCATGTTTTGTCTAGTACCTCCCATTTGGAAACAAATCCTAATGTTTTGTAAGCTTAATACAGAAAGTGATGTTCAGTTGTGTTAGTTGTAAAGCAGAAATAGTTGCTGTCTCCCTCACCTTCTGTAATGCGCTTATCTCTCTTCCTTCTTTAGGCTATGGTGCCAAGCAAGAGCCATTGATACTGACAGCTGTGACAAAAGTGGAGGAGGTACATGTGCCAGAGGAAAAACATTGGCCTGAAGAATTCCAGGTGCATACTGTTGAGATAAGGGTTACATGTATTAAAAGAGTGGGAGAAAATAAGAGATTAAATAAGGGCTTCCTGTTGTTAAAAGGAATTGCTAGACAGGAATTATTTATTCAGACTGTTCTATTTAGATAGAGCCAACAGAATTCATTTTAGCTTCACAAAGCTAGTTTGTTACAGTAACCTGCTGTCTTGTTTCATCTGAATGATTCAACTTAATGTGTTTCCATTTCTAGGAGAAAATTGTTACAGTACTCTTTTATCAAGTCAGGACAGTCATTTTTGCTAGCCTTTTTAATATAATGGTCCAATTTTGGATTATTTGTATTCTGTCTTGCCGTAGCCATCAGGTTTGTGGTTCTTGAGGGCAAGCCTGTGTCTTGTCTATTCTCTTAGTTCTCTGCCCAATCTCTCTGATTCTTTTTATCAACCTCCATTTCTTTTTCATGTTTTGTGCTCTTTGTACTTCACAGCTCAGTGTTTTTCCAAAGTAGAACAGGAACACAGTAGTATTCAATATCAGTTGATCCTTTAGATTCATAGTTCTGTGCTTTCAGCAATAAAGCATTACAAATGTGGTACTTCCTAATTTACAAGGAAACTCTGAAAATCCCTTATGCTAATGTAAATATGAGACTATTTCCACAGAGTGCTAAGGCCAATTTTTTTCTATTGGTTACGTAAGTCATCTTATGTTTAAAGTATTTTTTGATGCAGCATGGAAATAGGTTTCTGTATAAACATGACACTTTGTTTTTGTATGTAAAAAACCTGACATTTTAGCTATCCCCAAAATACTTGGGAGAAACACTTTGTTCAGTAGAAGGCTGGCACATCTGTGTAGTGAGTTTTAATATCTTCCTTTACTTGTATGGAAGGGAATAATAAGATTTCTGGATCTAAAACTATTCCCTCTTGACTTCTCGGCAGCATGAAATGCAGAACAATAATATTAATCCTGGTTGCAGGCAAAAGGAATTGTTTTGACAGATAAGCAATCTGTCAGGCTGCTCAGATTACATTCTGACCAGGAGATATTGGAGAAGAGGAACAAACAGAAAAAGCAGAATGAGATTTTTTTTTTTCTTCTTATGGAGGATTAGGACAAAAAGTAAAATCATTCCTTTTTCATGTATAGCTTGGATACTCTACCTAAAATCATAGAACCACAGAATAGTTTGGGTTGGAAGGAACATTAGAAGATCATCTGCCATGGGCAGGGACATCTTTCACTAGACCAGGTTGCCCAAAGCCCCATCCAACCTGGCCTTGAACACTTCCAGGGAGGGGGCATCCACAGCTTCTCTGGGCAACCTGTTCCAGTGCCTCACCACCCTCATCGTAAAAAAACTTCTTCCTTATATCTAATCTAAACCTACCTTCTTTCACTACAGACCCTCGTAAAAAGTCTTTCTCTGTCTTTCTTATAAACCCCCTTTAAGTACTGGAAGGCTGCTATAAAGTCTCCCTGGAGCCTTCTCTTCTCCAGGCTGAACAACCCCAACTCTCTCAGCCTGTCCTCATAGGAGAGGTGCTCCAGCCCTCTGATCAGCTTCGTGTCCCTCCTCTGGACTCGCTCCGACAAGCCCATGTCTTTCTTGTTCTGAGGACTCCAGAGCTGGATGCAGTACTCCAGGTAGGGTCTCACAAGAGTGGAGTAGAAGGTAGAGAATCACCTCCCTCAACCTGCTGGTCACGCTGCTTTTGATGCAGCCCGGGATGCAGATGGCTTTCTGGGCTGCCAGCATGCATTGCTGGAACATACCCACTTTTTCATTCATCAGTATCCCCAAGTCCTTCTCTGCAGGGCTGCTCTCAATCTGTACATCCCGTAGTCTGTATTGATATTGGGGATTGCCAAATGTGTAAATAAATTAGTGGAAAAGGGAAGATTTGTCAGTAGAAATTTAAAATTTCCCATCACCTGTTAATCAGACAACCTCATTTTTCCTCTCTCCACACTAATCGTGAGGCAGAGGTGGTCATGGTTCCTGTCTTAGTCTCGGAAAAATGAGACATAGCAAACAGTTCATTTTTGAGGAGAGGAATCCTGCATACTTCTCTGTTTTGCCACAGTAAGTGCTGATGCTCATTGTGTGAATTTTTGTCCACTTAATTCTGTTGCAGCTTGGATAAATGGAATGCCTACAGGTGCTAGAAAACAACACAAAATTTCTATCTTAAATTGTTCTTTCCCAGCCAGTCGTATCAGCATCCCTAAGCCCCATCTTCTCAGAGGTTAAAGCTTAATTTCTGTTGAAATTCCTGTCCCAAGCCCTCAGAAGCTTTCTTACTTGCTATTGAAGCTTTGTGGGAGTTGCAATATTTGGTCTAGGCATGTTGTATCCACACAGATAAGACCCTCTGCAGCAGACTTAAATTGTTTTATGGAAAAAGCTCTTACTATGTAAGACTATGTAATGACTTACTACTACTACGTAATGACTTAAGAGTTGAACCAATGTGTATAGCAGCAGCACAGGAAGGAAACCGTGTGCTACTCCTTTAGTTAATACATAACAATGTTTTAATTGTGAATCTGGGAGTCATTAGGATGCACAGTTTGGGGATTTTTATAGTTTAGAATTTGATCTGAAAACTAAATTCTTGCACTTTTTTTTTTTCTTTCCCCTCTCCATTTCATAAAGCCAACTGGAAAAGCTTTTTCTGGAAATCTGATCCATCAACCCCTGGTTCATATGGAAAGACTTGAGCTTCTCAGGAATGTCTGCAGAGACACTGCATTGAGAAATCTCTCTCACACTGCAGTTTCCAAATTCGTCTTGGACCGAATATTTGTGTGTGACAAGCACAAGATCCTGTTTTGTCAGACGCCAAAAGTGGGCAACACTCAGTGGAAAAAAGTCTTGATCGTTTTAAATGGTATCTACTCTGCTGTGGGTGTGTGGGTTTTTTTGAGGAGGAGGAAAGAACAGAATTGGTCCAACTGGGACAACACAAAAATGGATTCTTTCTGCTTTTCTGTGCACTCATACTTAATTCCAGCCTTTCATTCTTCACAGCTGCTTCTAGTCCTTTCAAAACATCACTTTTAAAGGAAATACACCTGTTCTTTCTGTGAAATATTGTTACTGCTTGACTCAAAAATGATTTGAGTCATGAAAGAGTGCTCATATACATGTAGTAGGTAGATTTGCTGTCTTTGAAAGGGTAGCACTAATTTATAGAAATTGAAACAAGCAAATGACAAGGTGTCACAATTCGCTAGGAAACAACAATATACAATTTCGGACTTGAGGCCACTGACTTTTATCTAGGGTTTTTTAGCCATGAAGAAAGCTACTTAAAACTTGGCCGCTGCTTTCATCTGTACTGCAGAAATCTTGTATATGTGCTATCAGTGAGCCACCATAGGCATTATGAAGACTCTGAGGTGCTTAAGGCAATAGTTTTGTCAACAAAGGTATGTTGTAAAAGAAGGAGTAAAGGGACTAGTGTGTTTGAATAATGATCTACAAGGTGAACACTGCCTGTTCATAGGTACCCTACCATCCTCTTCTAGTAGCCTGGTATGCCAATAAAAATAACTCATTTCCTCAGGGTTCTCTATTGTACCACTACCTGCACACTTAACTTAATCGTATTTAATGTAACCTACCTTTGTTTGACACGAGACCCTCTTGCCTGTCTGTGCATCAGGCCTGTGAATTTGCTACATAGAGTTCCTTCTGTGGTTTTGCAGGTGGCATAGTTCACCAAGATGTGGACAAAACCTCGACATTGTAAACCCAGCTTTTTTCAGAAGCACCATGCAAACAGCCAGCTCTGCACTTGTGTGTGTTCATGGGGTTTTCTACCTTGTGTGAGCTAGTTTGCACACCCAGAAGGAAACAGTCACAAATTAGCAAAGGAACTGTGTCCCTCAGCAAAAGTTTTGTAGCAAGGAGTATGTCTTTAAAAACTTTAGTACTAATTTCAACATTGATACATCGATGGGACCTGAAAATCCAGAAAAGATATGTGTGCACGTAGGTATGGGCATGTGTCTTAAATACCTATGAAAGCTACACTCCAAGAAAGTACTAAATATGAAACTATATGAGTGCATTAGAAGTACCTGCTCTTAGCAGAACTTAACAGAGGTAACATGCAAAGAATAGCTCAGGACAGGCAGGGATGTATTGGCTGCATTGACTGGACGATAACTCGTGTCTTACCAGCAGGGAACCTTTCACCATGAGCTTCCTAGTTCTGGCATGTTGGATAATGACAGAAAATTGTTGCTCTGTAAACACTGGTCTCTTTTGCCTTGAGCTGCCAGTGTACTAGTATCTGCTGATGAAGACTACCACTGCGGTTCATCTAACTTTCTCCTCTTTGGGTAGTTTCAGCAGGCAGGACTGATACTTGAGGGAGAATACTTTACATCCAAATACCTAAGTGGTATTTGGAGGTTCAAGATGGAGAAACACAGCTGTGGCACTGTGGGGGAGCTAACTCTGCTACTGCTTGTACTGAATCTCTGCTCTGGATGAATTCAAGGTTTCAGTTTCTGAGGCTGTCTAATCTGACATATGTTGTCCACGTGTAATTCACTAGAGTACCAAAAAGTCTAATTAGAAAACTGAAATTCATAAAATACAACCCCACCCCACCCCCCACCCCCCCCGAAAAAAAAGTAATTAGAAAATCTCATGAGAAGCTGAGTGGCGTGGATTATTCACTGCAGTTCTGGAACAGAGAAGGCCATAGAGGCTTTCACCTAAAGAGCTGGTTTTGTAGCACTCTGTTCTTGTTGCAGGCTGTTACTCTGAAATGATGCTGTTCTGTGAAGGCTTACTCCTAAAGTCCAAGGGGCCCACATGAGTTGTTTCTGAAGGTCATAAAAACTTCCAGGATCTTAAAATAAATGCATCGGAATTTAGTGACATTATTTTTCTTGTCAGCTTATGTGCTTGCAAAAATGAATATCTGGAGGCTTTCTATTGTTAATTTTAGTGCTTTTTAATCTGTGTAGTGTTGTACGATTGGAATTTTTGTTTCAGCACAGTACAGTCATTAAAATAACTTCATGGATCCTGACAGCAAAGTGGTTTTGTGTTGAAGCAGTTCCAAAAGCAGCCCACAGCATTTATTTTCTGTTGGTGGTAGAAACTCAGCCAAGAGCTGGTTCCTTCTTTGGAGTTAATCCTCAAAGTCTTCCTCCATTTGTGCGT